CATCGAGTTTTGAAGTGTGCTAAGATGAATTGAACATCAAGACCACCTTCTTCAATCTTCTTTTTCTTTGTTGGCTCAAAGAATCGCAGTAAAAATAATTCCTTAAGAAACAGATCCTGATATGTATATTAAGGAATCAGGGCCACAAGATCTTAAAAATTTCCAAGATGCCATGTCCTCACGTGAAGCTCCTTTCTGGAGGGAGGCAGTCAATGATGAGATGAAATCGATACTTGAGAATGACACTTAGATATTAGTGGATTTACCTTCTGGTGCTAAGCCCTTAGGATGTAAATGGATTTTCAAAAGGAAAATAAAGGCCGATGGTACTATTGAAAAATATAAAGCAAGACTAGTTGTAAAAGGATTTAAACAAAAGGAAGGTATTAATTTCTTTGATACCTATGTACAAGTTGCCCGAATAGCTACCATTCGAGTACCAATCGCCTTGGCTTCAATATATCATATAGAGATTCATCAGATGGATGTCAAAAAAGAGAATTAGGAAGCCAACTGATTTTGGTCTTGATTTCCTTATGTATCTTTTGGAATAAGATCCTAAAAATTTCCAAGATGCCATGTCCTCACGTGACGCTCCTTTCTGGAGGGAGGCAGTCAACGATGAGATGAAATCGATACTGGAGAATGACAACTTGGATATCAGTGGACTTACCTCCTAGTGCTAAGCCATTAGGGATGTAAATGGATTTTCAAAAGGAAAATAAAGGTGGAAGGTACTATTGAAAAATATAAAGCAAAACCGGTTGCAAAAGAATTTAAACAAAAGGAAGGTGTTAATTTCGTTGATACCTATGCACCAGTTGCTCGAATAGCTACCATTTGAGTACTAATAGACTTGGCGTCAATATACCATATAGAGATTCATCAGATGGATGTCAAAACAACTTTTCTCCATGGTGAACTATATGAAGAAATTTATGTTGAGCAACCTGAGGAATTTGTCCTTAAGGGACAAGAGCACAAAGTTTGTAAACTTGTGAAATCCCTATATGGTTTGAAGCAAGCACCCAAACAATGGCATGAAAATTTGAATGGAATTATTTTATTACACGAATTTCAAATCAGTGATACTGATATGCGTGTATACGCCAGAGTTTGTGCTGCGGTAGTTATAGTTTGCATGTATGTAGATGATATGCTCATACTAAGCAGCAATACTACATGCATTAAAGACACAAAGAACTTATTATATTTTGAATTTAATATGAAAGACATGGGGCAAGCAGATGTGATACTTGGAATTAAAATAGTGAGGACTCTAACTAGGTATTTTTAACCTGAGCCACTATAGAGAGAGAGTGCTCAAAAGATTTGGTCATTTTGACTCCAAGCCAGTTTGGACTCCTTACGATGCTCACATTAACTCAGAAAGAACCGTGAAGGTCATGTTTCCCAATTGGACTATGCAAGAGTCATTGGATGCATACTATATGCAATGTCATGCACTAGACCTGATATAGCCCTTGCTGTGGGAAAACCAAGTACATACACCAGTAACCCAGGTCAAGAGCATTGGAATGCCGTCTACAGGGTACCGAGATATCTCAAAGGAATCAGACTACGACGTACATTATATGAGTGATCCTGCTGTATTGGAAGGATACAATGATGCAAACTGGATTAAGGATTCTAATGAATCCATGTCTATTAGCAGATGGATCTTCACCTATGGTGGGGGTGCTGTAGCTTGGGGCTCCAAGAAGCAAACTGTTTCTCCAAATCCACGATGGAATTGGAGTTAATAGCCTTGGAAGTCGCTAGTAAAGGGGCTGAGTGGCTAAGGAGTTTGTTGCTAGACGTACCACTTGTCTCTGGACCCGTGCCTGCAATCTCAATTCGGTGCGACTGTGAAGCTGCAGTATACCGTGCAAAAAATAAAATTTATCCCGAAAAATCCAGATATATTCAGTTGAGGCACAGTCAGTTGAGAGTCCTATTGGAAGATGGAGTTATATAAGTATTCCATGTTCGCTCAAACCAAAACTTGATGGATCCACTAACCAAAGGCCTTGCAAGGGGCCGAGTCTAGAAGATAGCTAGAGGGATGGGATTGAAGCCTATTTATATTATGTCACAGAGTGATGGGAATCCTACGTAAGGACAAGGTGGTCCCAAGTCTAAGGTTCAAAGGGATAAACAAGTCACTCAAGTGATTTATGATGTTTGTTTGTACCAAAATTTTATTTAATGGAAATTTTATTTAATGAGAATTTATAAATTTCTGTCGCATCCCTGCTTTTGGAACAATTATTGCAATGAGTAGAGAGGTTGAGCATTGTTTTTAATGATTGCATTTGCCTAGATGATGTAAGGCTTAGGCTGGGATGTTGCACTGCAAAACCTTCTCTATGGACTCACTTATATGAGTGTGGAAGTGGAGGCTGCTTCCTATAGGAACTGGGCAATCCTTAGAGCGCTAATGAAAACCAGGTAGGGCGCAAGGCCTTAAATGTGCAAGCCGTTTAGAAAATTACAGCTTTGAAAGGAATATGTGGTAAGCTTATTTATAACGGACATAGTTCAAGGTCCGTCCACTCACTGTCCTGGTAAGTGTTCTGTCTAACACTACATCGAGGTTCAAGTTTGCAGGAAACCTTCACTTATGTATTTTCTTTCCTGATCTTACTTCTTTATCTTTCTGTCCGATAGTTTTTGAAACTGGTGGAGGATTGTTAATTTATTTTAAATTATGAGTTTCAAAATTCATTTTCTTGTTTCTACTTTTGATGGTCCACTTTGCTTGTGTGGTACCTTTTGGACCACCACTTTAACCTCCTGTCGTTTTCACTTTCACTCCCACACCATTAATGAATCTGTTCATTAATGTTGCAAGCCTCATGCTTGCATCATCTTGCCTCATAGTGACATTATCTTGCCTCTTGCTCATGTCACCTACCTCTTCTTTCTGCTTTGATTTCCACGTCCAAGCAACTTGGCATCTCTCACTCACCACGTTCTACTCTTTCTCCTTCTCCATTCAAGGCACTACAAGGTGCTAAACCCAAGTGACTTGGGTGGATTTGCCCAAGGTTCGCCCATGGATTTTAACACTGGTATAAATTGTGAACATATTTATGTTAAATTAATATTGCATATTCTGATCTATGTTATATTAATAGTATATATTCTTTTAACACAATATTTATATCAATGCGCGCGCACACACACATATGTGTGTATGGTGAGATTTGAGGTGTGGCTTTGCTTTTT